GTGCAGCCAGAGACCAGGCCATCCCCTCTGTGCGTGTGTGTTGTGTGTTGGGGTGTGGGGTATAGAATGCCCGCTTGGGCGTCTGCTTTGGGGCAGGCTTTGGGCCTGGAAGTGTCCTACACGATAGTCTGCGAGCCTCCAAACATGCCGTGCGCTCCCTATCAGACCACGCGATTCGCGTCCGTCCGGCTGACTCGAGGAGCGGCTGCCACCGTGAGAACCCGGCAGCGAGATCTCAAGTGCGCTTTCCCGTAAAACCCGGGAACTTTGCACTGAGAAGGTTTGGTGTACGGGGGGCCACTCCAACCAACTGAGCCACACCGGCCAGGGCGAGAAACGTTTGTGTTCCTGTTACTCGCCGGGTTTCTCCCACGTCCACTTAGCCATGTTCCTGCGATCTGGGTAATCCCTTTCAAGCCAGGGAGGAATTCTCCCGGGTCCATAATTGAGGATCGGAAATCGTGGGGGTGAGGGAGCATTAAATCTTCCCGAAGCCAGGCCGGTGCAGGCGCGCGCTCAGGGCGCCCCGCTCCAGTTGTGGCGGGGCCCAGCCTGCACTCCCTTCCCTCTTGGACCCCCTACCCCGGGAAGCCCCGAGCCGACAACGGTCCACGCATTTCAGCGCCGCATTCGGGGGTGGAGAGTGAGCCCGCAGCGCGGCGTTTGGGCACCGCGCGCCCGCGACGCTCGTGCGCAGCCCGACCCTCTGCGCACACTGCTGGAAACAGGAAAGCGCTCCTGGATCCGAAGCCGCAAGGGAATCTGCGGGTTCCTCGGCGCGCCCAGCGTTCGGTGGGGAGCCACCACCTCCGAAGCTCCCGCGGCTTCCTGGTTGCGGAGCAGCGGCCCCGCAAGCCAAGACCAAGGCTATAGGGTGCGGGGCCCGGTGGGGGCCGAGCTGGGGTGTGCGCACAGTCCCGCCCATCGAGGGAGCTACGACTCGTCCCACCGCCAAAGAGCTTCCGACCTCCAAAGGGATCCTTGGAAAAGGTCTGGAGCACTTGCTACAGAAAATGGGGTCGCCGGCTGTGCCCCTCAGGCGCAGGGGAGGGACGCGGGTACCCGGACCTCCTCGGGCAGGGAGTTCGCGGCACAGCAGGCTCCTCCCGGCGCGGGAGAGTGAGGTGGCACCAAGAACAGAGACTTTGCGCCCGGCCGGGCAGCCACGGAGTCTCACCTCCCCGTGCCCCCCTCCATAACTGGCGCCCCACGACCCCATATCCCTACTCGCCGGGGGAGCCCCATTACCCCGGTGCTCAGCGTCCACTGAGGCTGCCCTCTGACCCTGTGTCCAGAGGAAGCTGGGAGCCTCCCAGGACACGGGTCTGCGCGGCATCTGGAGGGTTCAGACCCTTAAAAGAGGTAGGGGCCTGTTACCCGGGATGCAGAGAGGACCCCACCCTTGGGATCGGGCGTCGGGGCTGGAGGGGCGTACAAAGGAGGGGGGCAGGAGGCCTCGCGGTCCAGTGCAGCCGAGAGGGAGAAAGCCCCGGCACCTACGGCCGCGTCTCCAGCTGCGCCTCCCTCTTCCAGCGGCCTCCTGCCCCCACCGGAGCTCGCCCGGCGCTCCTCCCTCCGTG